TTCCCAATCTTGTTGGTACTACCAAGATTACAGAAATCTTGTTTTAACCAATCGTCAAAAGACAGTAGCCATTGTATAGATAGAATATTTAAAATTCGTCGCCGGTGGGTTTTGAACCCTCTACCTATTTAACATGTTGCTTGGGGTGTAACAACTTAACCACTTCACTAAGTTGTCACACTCTCAAGTCGAATAGATTAGTTTAGATTCTTAAATTAATAAACATATAAATTAAACTTAAATAATAAACAATTATTACCTTAAATTGCTTATCCAATATCATCTACATAGTAGAAATGCTGCCTACAAAAAAATATAAATATCACTTGCATACCTCTTTTTCATTTTTAATTCCAAATACAGAAATTTTAATACAGAATCTGCAGAATCCACGACCTATTACCTATCAAAATTTAAATGTTCAGTATATTTAAATTATCACCCAAATGTTTCTTTTTTATCTCTAGCAAAATTAGAGGTTGCGCAATTATTAGAATTGTATCTTTAGTTGACTTCCATATACTATTCATATTTTTTCATACTTATACATGAATATATCATTTCTATTGCAGAATCAAAGTCAACATCCTCATCGAAATTATCACTTTTAGAAAATTTCAAATATTATATCAATGTTTTTTTATCTGTAGCTATAACTATTGTAACAATTAAAATTTTTTTTTTATTAGTATTTTATTTTATCTTTTTTTTTATATCTATTAGTTTAGTTTTTACCTTTAATATTCTTATGTGTAGGGTGTGGCGACTTAGTGAAGTAGTCAAGTTGTTACCTCCCAAGCAGCAAGTCAAGAGTTCGAACCCACTGGTAACAAAAATTTGAATTTCTATTTATGTTATAGTAACTGTCTTCTTAAGATTGGGATATCTGATCCTGTAACTATAGTCAAACCAAATAGTAGCTGGGATAATCACTACCCAAAATTGGGTTTGTGCCTGACCCGGGATAGCTTATTTCAGAAGGTTTACTAGAAACCGAGTCAAGATTTGAAAGATCGCATAGTATTTGTATAACAGAAGAGTTGTATAAAGAAATGCAAGCTAGTATAAGCAGTGCAAACTCACGATAAGTCCTTGTGTCTGTATAAATCTATAGAACTAATAAAGACGGAAACCTGCTTGGCAAGACCCGACTAAGAAGGTAGCAGAAGCCAAGTATAGCTTATGGACCAGGTTCTGGTTGCGTTAGCTATATAAATCTTATAAGGATATTAAAAACTAGATTAGCTATTAATAGTGGGAAAAATGGAAGGCTCTAGTAGGTTTACCCCGATAATAAAATTGTTCTAAGGTAGTTATAAATATTAGTTTGAGGTTATATATATAGAAATATATGTACAGTTGATGCGGGACTAATACTGTAAAAGTAACTTGTTAAATATAAATAAAATACTGACCAAAGGGGTCACCTTAAGACCAAAAAAAAAAAAAATTCTTATGTGTATAGTTTTTTTCTAATTAGATTTTCATAGCAATAATCAATTTCTTCGTTCATATAAATATTTTAATCAAATATACTAAAATGGTAGTTGATTGTGGCTTGAAGTCTTATTTTATACAAGCATATATATGCTCAAAACTGCGAAGTGATACAATCATGTGATTGAAAAAAGGTGCAGGCTATACAAAGACATAGCCACAGACAGCAGGGTTAGAACCAGAGCATATAAGAATAAGTGCTAATGGCCAAAGCAGAATCTAGGTGTAGGAAGACCTTAATGAATTTGAATAATAATTAGAAACTGTATATATTGGTATAAAAAAAAAAAAATTTAAGCACCACAAGTAAATATAAATAATAAATACAAAAAACCAAATTTTCTGGGCTAAAAGTTGCTAAAGCGAGAGTTCTCACCACCCACCCACCCTGTCTATCATAAATCTCTAGAAATACATGATTCTATCATTCTATTATGCATTGCTCCATCACTTACAACTGGCTTGCTTTGACAAGTAAAGAATGGTCCTACTAGCTAATCTTGCAGTAACTTCTAATACAATCATAATTGCTTCTTATGGGATATCTCACCATTTTGGCCATCTCAGGTAATTACTATCATGTATTCTGCCAAATTTTAATAAATATTCAATATTACCTCCAGCCTAAATTAATAGCTGGCATAATTCAAATGAAACAGTACATAGTAATGTGAATGCTTTTCGATTTCATATATGTGCTTACACAAATTTGTTGCTCTCTGCGCTATGAGTGTATATGCTCAAAAAGAGTATATACATTCAAATCAGAGTGAATTCGCTCAAAAGAGATCTAACAAAATATATATAAATATCTGAAATTCAATAAAGAGTAATATTCAATTTCTTGTCTACTTTCACTCACTAATAAATAAAAAAATATATACTTATCTGAATTTCTTTTGAAATTTTATCTTTTGAATACATAACTTTTCAGACTCAATTCGATAGACTGAATTGACTTGTAGCTTCGATTTGGCTTATTAAAGCTCAAATTTTGGTATACTTGTTGAATCAAATATTGCAATTTATCTTAGTGACTTGAATGTGACTTATATATAATTACTAGACTTGGTTAATTCATCACGTAAACTTAAAGTAGTTACTGATATCACTTGATTATCAATCATACTATCTTTAAGAAGATACCACTTGATCATTATTACAGTTCTTAAGATCACTACTTTATTATTACTCTTAACAGTATTATCCATTATTATATCAAAGTATTACTCTATAGTGTCCTATCATCTTACTAGTTTCTTATCATTTTTTTTATTTTTCGTTCGTCTTTTAAACTAACATTATTTTTCTTTTTCTAAAAATAATTTCTTCACAACTAAAATCATGGTTTTGTAAATCTTCATTACTAAAGTTTTCATTGTTGAAGCTGTCACCTTGCTGTTCTTACTGGTGAAATCGTTATCTTAGATATTTTTATAGTTGGAATTATTATCTTTGTTGTCTTCATCATTCAAATTATTGTAAGAAAAACAAAACAAACACGTAAAAATTAGCATAATAGAAGTTTGTTTTGATTGGCTATTTATTTTATATTAAAAGTATTGTTATACAAGTTTTTATATTAGTTTATAATAAAAATTTTTATTTAAATAAGATGTAGTTAAATTTTTATAATCAAAACTACCCAAAATTTTGTCAGATTATTTTTTAGATGCTTAACTTTCATATAATCATTGGAGATCAAGTAAGATCAAGTGTTCTATCAACTTTTATTAGAAGCCATTTTGACAATATTAATATATAGTCAACCTTTCGTAAATGCATATTATCAGAACCAAACTTTTGAGAACATGCATTTAGAGAACAATAAATATGCATTTATGGGAGTTTAGTATATATTTGGGCCAGAAAATTAATATGCATTTAGGGAAGTTATGCACTTAGAGAGGATGCGTTTAGAGGGGGCCGACTATATAGTATGGTATTATAAATATGTGTTTTTTTAGTTTTTAAAGCGAAATAACTAATAAAAGTCAAAAATTTTTTTGAATAAACATTTCAAATTTCATATAAGCAAGATAAGATGATTAAAAAATTAATCATCTTACGAATTTTACGAAATGCTATAAAAGTATTAGATTTATGAGCATCATGAAATAACATGTATTAACCTTTAATTTTTGGCCAATCAGAATTTGTATAGATCATCCAATAAAAACAAACTTCTATTATACTGTAAAAATTGAATTAGACTATATATACGTACAGGTGTATACTTATTTGCGCTGATGATACAAATCCAAAAAAAGAAAATTTTCTATGTAGATTGCAAGATCAGGTGCAATATTTTTTCAAAACATTGCCAGTAACTCAAAATTTTGCTTAAAAATCACCTTTTACGTTCTAATAAAAAAAATTTCTGGCCAAATTTTACTATACAAATCTTCTTATATCAACATTAACCCTAACTCTAATGCTGGTCAAAATTTCACGTGCTTTTAGCAAAATAACAACAAACGAATATTTACTATTGGCACGTGATTTGTGTCACCAGCGCAAATAAGTAAACCGATACGTACAGTACATACGTTACACTGCATATTTCTATATTCAGAAAGTAACATAAACTGCAGATCAAAACTCCCACGCCTTGGTGTAACGTAACACGATCAGGAAGATCCAAAACAAACGTTCGTTTTCAAAAAATCTCTTTTAACTCAAAATTTGCCTAACAAAAAAAATTCTTTAGACAATTTTACTATATGCCAACCTATTACTAACCATAAACTAACTCCAACCCTAACATAAACGAACTCTAAAGAATTTTGCCGACCTCACGTGATCGAAAAGATTTTGGTGGCTCAACAACTACCAAACAAATTCAACAAAAAATTTTTATCAAATTTAATTAAGAGTAATTGAGAAATCTTCTCTAGAAGTTTAAAAAAAAAATCCAAATTTTTAAAGAATTTTCGATTTTTGACCAATGAAATTCATCATAAACTGTTGCGTAATCAATTTAGAACAGGGTGAAACCTGAGTCACCAGCGTTAGGGTTATGGTGAAATCCGAGTTTAGGTACAAAAGCGGATTTCAACCCTCATGTGATCTACATGGCAGATTTCACCCTACATAGCGAATTTTACTAGTTGGTGACTCAGGTTTCACCCTGTCGTATCAATTTTGTTCAATCAGCGATAGGAAAATTATCATCCAATAGTGGAGACAAATTTGTAAAATATCTCTCATGATATATTGAACCGATTTTAATAAATTTGCTATCATTAGCATCAGAAAAGTTGGCTTTACAACTTTATTAGAAGATAAAAGAAGGTTTACTTAATAAAAAAACAAATTTTTTTACATGTAAGCCCTATTCCTGTACTATATAAAAAGTACTTAAATTCCGATTTTGTTTATTATAAGACGTGCCATTTTTGGATCCCATCAGAGACGAATTACCCCTTAATAACTTTATTTCCGGACCTATTTTCCGAGGCTGTTACAATTAGATTTGTCCTATAATTTTTAATCGACCATAATTACTGGTCCTCATCATCCATATCCATAGTAATTTCATCAGGATTTGAAGGATCAGCTTGTGCGGATATATTTTCTTTGTCCACTTGCGTAGAACTGTGTAAAAACGCAAATATATCACATTTAAGCATAATTCCATTCGAAACAAAAGAAATAAAATCATATGAAACTTGAAATACATACGGAACAAACATCATTGTTCTAACAGAAGTATGTGAACTTCCTTTATTTTGGATGGCTTCTTGTTCTGCAAGTTGCATAGCACTTGGAGCTGATGTTAATGTAGCATTTGAAGACACATCTTCTTGCTGAAAAACTTGTTGAGCTTGACGAGTTGCGAGTATTTGCGCGGATATAAAATTAACCTAAAAATAATCTCGAGTCAATAGCAGAACACAAACTTAGGTTGAAATAAAAACTTTTCCATAATGCTACCTCTGTATTATATTGAGCTTGAACACTACGCTTGATTCTAAGCATTTCTTTGAATGTATCTTCATTTCCATGTTTGACTTCAAAGTCATGCCATGTCTGCCAGAATGATGGCACTGTCTATAAATATGTAATAGAGTCAGTAATGAATTAATTAAACTAAGAACCTTATAAATAATACGAACCCTTGGATCACAAAATTGCGACGCATGAGCATACAAGGCTCTTGCTCGATCAATTTCTCCTAGTTTACGTTCTAATTCAGCATATTTTAAACACATATCTTTGGCTTCTTTGTCAGGCAATACTTCGATCGCACGTTCATAAATCTCACGGGTATACGTGACGCCAAAGTTTGCACCTGCTTTAGCAATATAAAAATTGAACATCTAAAAGCGGTTTGTAGTTAGTTATATGTGACAACAACATCTCATGAATTATCGAATAATTACCTCAAAACGGTCTTCATCAGATACTGATCTAGTTGCACGATCATATATGCGCATCGCATGTCTTGCCAAACCATAATCCTCTTCCAATTTTCCATACATAAGATACAATGATTTGGCGTATTTTGGAGGACATTTCTCAAGAGCTTGCTCAAAAAGATCTCGTGCACGTTCGAGTTTTGAACCAGACTGATTAATGAAAACATATTTTTGGCTTAAAATTTTATTAGTTAGGATCTTGCATAAAATGAAAAAATATACGCACGTATCTAGAAATGAATTTTGTCAAATACACGTTCCATATTTCAAATGCGATTGGATAATTGAATAGTTCAACACCACGCTCGTAGACCTAAATTTAATATAATTCAGTGAATAACATAAGTGTCCATTATAAATATGGATGATAAGTACATCAACGTTATCTTTACTTTAAAGCTTTCTTCGTAATATTTATTTTCTTCTAAGAAATTTGCATAATTAATTATTATTTGTGGTGTTGCTATTTTCAGTTCAAGTATTCGGTCATAGACAGCTTTTGTTGATTCTACAGTCCCTATACTTTCTTCTAAGTCAACGTAAAATGACCATAATTTGATGGATTTGAACACGCGTCGCTGGACCGGTATAGACTGCAAGAAAGTGTTATGCATAAAAATTTTTAAAGAACTCATCTATATTTTCTATATTAAAAAGTGCATAAAGTTTCATTCATTATAAATTATAAAAATCCACTTTTCATACCTCATCACGGAAATCTACATTTGGATTTCCTGCTGGAACTGTGGCACGGCCCATTACGTCAATTGCTCTGTCATAGAATCTGAATAGTATAATTATAAAAATTTTTACTATTTTTTTTCTTATGGAATAATCATAAACAATATATATTGACAAATTCATACTCAAGCCGTAATTCCATCTCTGCATATTCACACCACAAGGTAGCCAAGTCATTGACATTTTTAAAGTTGACATGAGTTGCTTTTTCAAAAATTGTACGTGCATTTTCAATGTCACCTCCTTTCTCATAATACTTGGCAAAATTGACCCACAACTCATGAAATTTTCCGGTTGCTTTCTTTGGATCTATGGTTCTCAATGCCTTTGAGTATGTCTCAACAATCTAAGTATAAATACATTAAGGACTTAATGAATTAATTTATTATGATAAGAATATATATATATATAGTTTTCTAGATGGTCAACCTTTTCATGGTTATCTTTCCATAACGACACCCTCTTCTCCCATTCATGGACATTGTTTGGATTCTGTCTTAATAAGACGTCATTTACCAAAAATGGTCTACGATCCATTAATTGCTCAAATCGCATCAACCTCAAATCTAATTCCAAATCTTGTTCCGGATCTTCTTTGCCTGCCTCTGCACGCTCAGCTGCCTCTTCCATTTTTTTTTCAATGACAGTTTCCTCTGCCTTTGCGTAAGTATCAAATATTTGTGTAAAGTCTCTGACGGTCATTACAGTGCTGATGCCTTCTTCAAAAACGTCCCTTGCCTATATTCAATGGGAAACAGTTAATTAACGTACATAAGTAGATTACAAAAATTCGCTAGCACACGTACCTTTTCAAAATGATGCAACTTTATCCAATAATTTGCAAGTGAATTCCATAATTTTCCCACTTGATCTGTAAATCTTCGAATTCCACTCCGTATAATTGGTTCTACCTTCAGACTTTTGATTTCATGCGGATGTTCACATATCAAATCACAAAGCTCCATCCACAATTGATAATTTGATTTGCCATGCATTGATTGGAAACGATCATTATTGACCACTTGAGCGAGTCGTTTTGCAGCCTCATCGTACCGATTTAATGAAAGCAACAAATCGATGTATTCTTCTACGTGATCCGGTTCCAACTAATGTGATATTCATGCCAATGATGAGTAAATATTTTCTTGCTAGAAAACAATTACATGTTATCCAACCCGCTATCATAAGCATTGCAATAAATTTATTGTTATGCAGTGTGGGAGCGACTAATGAGATTCACTTCATAGAAATTGTAACTCCACGTAATATTTAGAGCAATCAATCTCATTGATATTAAAGCAAGTAACTCACCATATTGTTCTTTCAAATTATATATAAAAAGTGTTACAATATCTCACCTTGAGATATCTGCGATATAGTCGGATGGCAGTTTCTCCACCTATATCTCTTGCGAACTTTAAATAAATCTCCCATATCCTTGGATGTTGTGTAATTGGTAAGGCCTTTAAAGCTCTATCAAAAGTTCTACGTGCTTTCGTAATTCTGCATTGCTTTACTAGAAAACTACAATAATCTATCCATATACGGGGCATCTAAAGTGGGAAAAAAATGAAATTATCATTTGACCGATAATAAAAAAAAAAAGTAACTAGTTTGTACCTTATGTAATAACACCAATGCTCTCTCGAAACAATTATTGACTTTTAAATATTCTTTTTCATATTTAACTGGATTTAAATCTTGAACTTGTTCTCTTCGAAGATCTAGATATTGTTTCCACAATTTATAAGATCCTGGCAACTCTTTTAAGGCACGCTCATGTACAAAAATTCTTTGTTGGATAGGTTGCTCTGCTTTATGATCAATATATCGAAACCAGGACTTCAAAGTATACGGATTACGTAGAATTTCTTCTTCAAAAGGTATATCAATTTCCTCCTGCACATCAAATCTGATTAAAAAAATGCAGATCTTAACAGTCACAGCGAAGATATAAATACGTACAATCATATAAAATCCGTCGTATTCGCTTTCATTATTAATTTCCATGGTTTTTTTGAAGTAGGTTTTTTATTTTATTAATTTTCATTTTTTATCGTAATAATCGTGAATTATGCAATTTGATTGGTTAACATTCACGTGTTAGAGATAACATCAAGCGTCCTTATCCTAGACCCCTGGTTTAGAATAGTTATCCTGAACCTCCGCGGTTCAGGCAAATTAGGCTAGACCCCCAAATATGTTTGGTTGAAATTTAATAGCCCGTCAAGCGAAATTTTTTTAGTTAATAAGATAACTAAATGATTTAAACAAAATCATTATTGATGCATCAAAAACGTAACTTTGTATCACCATGACTAAACATTAAATGTCCTTCGGACAATAAGACGCTTATAAAAAGTTGTTAATCATGTCCTGAACATTACACTAGTGCTAGAGTGCTAGGTTATAAAATGAAAATGTATAGAAAGTAAAATACAATGTGGAATGTTATTTAAAGATACGTAACATCTTTTTGAAGATTTTTTCTTCAAAAGAAGAGATCGAATATTTATGTTATTATAATAATTGGCTACACATGAATGTCGCCAAAATATTAGGGGAATTTACAAATAAGGGCCCAAAACTGAAACTAATTACAAATAGGGACCCAAAATGAAAATAATTACAGATCGAGGCCTAATACGTATTTGAAAATTATTACAGATAAGGGCCCAAAATAATTATGCACTTAAGAACCTCCCGTTTTGATGATTTGAATATATTCATTAATTGTTAACATAAGAAATGTAATAATAATCTATTACGTAGTAATTCGAATATAAATTCAAATGCACAATAAAATGTATATTCGATTCGTCAACCAATTATTTACGCTGTAAATTTATCCATTGAAATTCATGATATATTTCTTAAAAACCTGCCTGTTTATAATAAAAACCATGTCAAATACAAAATTACAGATCGTTATGATTTTACTAACATAAAAATGTTCATTCGGCCCTGGATAGTTATTCTGTCGAATTTTCTTCTCCTTATAAGTTCAGAATGAACAAACAAAATAAGCTGTTGACTATTTGTTTTTTACTATTTCAGTTAACAAGCGCAAAGGTGGCTACATTCATGTAGTAAGCTGATTCCTCATTATCCAACTTCTATGGAAGCATTCAAACACGTGATCATATCATGTAAAATTTATTGTACCATTAGTTAAAAAAAATAGCAGTACTTCGACTAGGGATGTTAAACCGTTAAAAACTAGCTATATCAGTTACAAACTGGCAGTTAACTACATAAACCGATTTTAACTATTTACATTAAACTGGTTATAAAATTTACATAAACAGTTTATTAGACTATTTCGATTAATAAGCATGGATTTTGGTTGGCTAAAAATTAAAGTTTCTTTTATACATGATAAATTTATATACAGTTACAAATTAGCTCATATTTAACATTTATAGTTGTATAACCGGTTTTGGCTCAAACGATAACGGTTTGAGTTCCGAACTAAGTCAATATAGTTACATCTTAACTACTTAACATCCCTAACTTCGACCTCGTGATATTATAAATCATGTTCGTTTTGAAGTAGGGGCTATATGGTAGTTTGAGAAGTAAAGCTATTAGGTCACACAAAGTTAATTTTTAGTTTTGCTCAAAAATCCATTTGATCGGTCGGACTTTGTTTTCTGATTAATGAATAATAACTGCAAACACCTATTTAATCACAATTAATCAGAAAACCATTATGTTTAAATCGGCCAGCAATCTTGATGGTATATTTGGGTCTTAATTTTCAAATATTAGCGTTAGGCCTTTATTTGTAATTATTTTCATTTTGGGCCCTTATTTGTAATTATTTTCATTTTTGGGCCCTTATCTGTAAATTCCCCAAAATATTAACATTAAATGCGTAAAAAGAATATAACTATAATCTGCAATCATACAAGGAAAAATACGTAAGACTTCAAGTTTATTATTTATTATTTACCAGGTTAACAGTAGTGAATAATACGTACGTAGTGAAGATTTTTCGCTAGAAATAGTAAAAACATACAAAAATTCTAATTGCAACAACTCTTAAACCAGTAGACATACACAAATCAAATAATATTTATTAGATTACTTTTAATGTATTCTTTAACGTGATTGCGCTCTTTTTTTTTTTATTTTTTTATCTTTAATTATAACGATAGTAATAGTAAAGCTCAAATTGCAATAACTCTCGAATTAGTGAACATACACGAGATTCCTTTTAATGCATTCTTTAAAGCGACGTTTCTTTTTTCTTAAAATTATTTGATTTAATAATTGATGTTTTATCTTGTCGCATATATAAAAAAAAACTATCACTTAAAAGAGCGCGTTAAAAGAAATTCAATAAATGTAATTTAAGAGATATAGCGATTTGGATAAAAGCCATTTGGATAGTAAATAAATAAGAACCTAGATGAAAATTAGTAAATGCAACTTGTATGAAAATAAGTTATTTTTTTTTATTTGTATACTCATGCATAATTTCAAAGTGAATGAGAACAAATAACAATCGCCACAGGAAAAGGCGAACTACAGTCAGTTCTCTGAGTGCAATTGGATTAAACTTAGAAAGATTTAATAAAGCCAAACCTCTCTAAGTGCAACTTGTAGGGACCGGACTTTTGACAACATGCATTTAGAGAACAAATAAGTTTGCATTTATAGATACCAAATATATATTTGGTCCGAGGTTTGAAGTTGCACTTAGAGATGTTTCACGGTGATGGCTGTGCGTGACCTCCTTTCTCTGCTGGTGGTGGTAATTCTGTGTTTTCTTTGTTTTCTTCCTTTGCATAATCATCATATGGATTCTTTTCTACGAATGGTCTTTTTCCCAATAATGAAATCATATCTTCTCTATTTAGTACTTCTTTTGATAATAAAAGTTGCGCTACCTTCTCAACATCTTTCTTTTTTTCTGTTAATAGTTCCAATGTTCTTTCATAAGCTAATGATACTAATTTACGAACTTCTTCATCAATCATTTTGGCTGTCTCTTCAGAATATGGTTTCTGAAATTGTGGTTCAGCTTCATTTGGGTTATGGAAAGATAAAGGGCCTATATTAGAGTTCATGCCGTAAACCGATACTTGCGCATATGCCATCTTTGTGACTTTTTGCAAATCATCTTGAGCACCGGTAGTAGCTATATTAAAAAAGATCTGTTCTGAAACTCGTCCACCCAACGTCATACACATACGATCTAGCAATTGTGCTGTTGAATATAAATACTGGTCTTTTGGCAGGTATTGTGCATATCCAAGTGCTCCGATACCTCGGGGAATGATTGATACTTTTAGCAAAGGATCTGCGTGTTCAAGGTACCATCCCGCAACAGCGTGCCCTGCCTCATGATATGCTACGGTTTTCTTTTCCTCTGGAGAAAGTACTCGAGACTTTTTCTCCAAACCTGCTATTACACGTTCAATAGCTTGTTCAAAATGTTCTTCAGACACCCAGTCCTTACGATAACGCGCTGCGATCAGTGCCGCCTCGTTACAAACATTAGCTATGTCTGCCCCTGAAAATCCTGGCGTCAATGCGGCTAATTTATTTGATAGACGTTCAATATCCTCTTTTGTTTTGATTGGTTTTAAATGTACCTTGAAAATTTCACATCTTCCTTTGATATCAGGTCGATCAATTGCAATATGACGATCAAAACGTCCCGGACGCATCAATGCTGGATCTAATACATCAGGTCTATTTGTGCCTGCTAACACGACGACATGTTCACTTGTACTAAATCCATCCATTTCTACAAGTAATTGATTTAGTGTGCTCTCCCTTTCGTCATTTCCTCCAAATTGTCCTATTTTTCCCCGTGATTTTCCTATGGCATCAATTTCGTCGACAAAAATTATACATGGCGCGTGTTTTTTAGCATTGGCAAATAAATCACGTACTCGAGATGGTCCCACACCAACAAACATTTCAACAAATTCTGAACCTGACACGCTCAAAAAAGGAACACCAGCTTCTCCTGCGGTGGCCTTCGCAAGTAAGGTTTTACCAGTACCTGGAGGTCCACTTAAAATGGCTCCTTTTGGAATTTTAGCACCCAACCTCTCATAAGCTGTAGGATCCTTCAAAAATTTGACAAATTCCATGATCTCCTCTTTAGCTTCATCCATTCCTGCAACGTCCTTGAATTTAACTTTGACTTCAGTCTCTTGATTGAATAACTTTGCTTTTGATTTTCCAATACCAAAAATACCTTGGGACCCTGCAGCGCTACCTGCACGTCTTGTGATATAAAATAAGGCTCCCGCCAAGAGAAGTGTTGGTGCGAAATGTAATAATGTACTCATCAAATTGATCTCGTCGCGATACGCTACAGGTATACGCTCATTTGATGGGATTCCCAACTCACTTTGAGCATCTTCTAATTTACGTTCAAATGCCTCAACTGATCCAATGCTAAAATAATAACTCAAACCGGGTAAGGTAGGAGCATTCGGATACATCTGTCCAGTGGCATTGGAATGTAAATATACACGAACTTTTTTTCTATTCACCACAACAAGTTTGTCGACCAAACCTTTATCAAAAAATGCTGTCC